AAATGCAACAATCAGTAACCAAATGCAACAATCAGTAACAAGATGCAACAATCAGTAACAAAATGGAACAATCAGTAACCAAATGCAACAATCAGTAACAAGATGAAACAATCAGTAACAAAATGCAACAATCAGTAACAAGATGCAACAATCGGTAACAAAATGCAACAATCAGTCACAAAATACAACAATCAGTAACAAAATGCAACAATCAGTCACAAAATGCAAACTACAACTTCCAAACAACATTACACCTGCTTATAATTCAATTAAATTAATTAAATGCGATAAAAGATGCGAGTATGCAATTAAAAAATAGAAGAAAAAGAAAGCCGGTAATATATACGGCGTGTTTGTTTGTTTCGATCGTGGCGTTTACGATATATAAAATAATAATTAAATAATGAGAAATATGAATTTAATGCAAATTCACGAGTACGGCGGACATGCAAGGGGGGATATACGTGTGTTATTAAAAGAAAATGTGATGAGCTTCTAATAATACGTTGCTCAGTTGATAAATAATACCCGGTCGGGAACGATACACATCGACTTGGAAAAAAAAATAAAAATACACACATGATGAATATTCATGAATTTTTCACACAATGCTACTTAGTTAATACTACAATTACAATAAAATTTCTTTCATATATCTATACTCGAACGTCTCGGGTATTAATTGCTAATAGAATAAGCGCCAAATCAAAATTCATTATCATCTACATCGAGCGTTTTGCCATATTTTATTTCGCTCGATTATTTTAACGAAATTTCCGTCGGACGATATCCGCGGCAATTTATCTGGGAAAACAATTTCACGCAATTTTCAATCGCTCTAACGCAAACGCGCGGCCGAATTATTTCGAATATTCGACGCTACAATAACCTACTAGTTAATTTTCGCAACTTATCTCACTTTTTTTCGGGGGAAGTGTTTGTCCCACTTCTGATTTATCGGGCGATTGTGTGTCCCACTTCTGATTTATCGGGCGATTGTGTCCCACTTCTGATTAGCGCCGCCCGAGAAACTGGCGATTATTTTAGTGGAATTCGATCATAATGGGGCGCTTAATCTTATATAGCGCGGATCATTTTGGGCGCGCATAAATCGCGAATCAAATTGAAACTCCGCCGTAACGATGGACATCGTAATTAATTTTCCGCCGTATAATTACAAAAAGCTTTATGACGCCATCGTTATGTTTTATAAACGACATTAACTCGTCACTAATTAGGTCTGTAAATTAACCCACCGAGGCCGAACTCTTATTTTACATTGCAAAATGCTTTGTCGTAAGAAAAATCACAGTAAATTTCGTTTTTATTAAACCGTGTAGGTGGTAGCACTGATTTTTTTTTAAGGAAATGAGTTGGCTACCTGTTTGAACTTAATCACGTTGTAAAGAAAAGAAGAAATGTGACAGATAGTATAAGTTACTAGATTTCAGGTAGGCAACTTAAATTCGTAAGTGCTACCAACATAATCCGTAATATTTTAATTTAGATAAGAAACTTAAGTGAAAATCTATTAAAAATGAAGCGTAACAAAAACAATTAATAGAACGTTAAACGTTTGTCGAATTAAATTGGAAACAAATCCGACGTTTTGTCGAATTTCCACGCGAAGCGTAAAATACGCTAGATATCGGAATATTTTCACTAGCTCAATTATAACGTCCACTTTTGATATTTAATGCTTAAATTGGTTAATAACCCAAAAACAATGACTATTCATGGACCGATTTCAATATATGTTATATATCCAACAGGTCGACTTTTAAAATCGACAATAATTCATTCACCATTATGCGAAATAAATTGCTAAATAATCGCCGTTATATCAATGGATCTTTTCACTTTTCGCGTGCAATTTTAATTGACAATTTATTATTTTCCCACGTTTTAAAATGTTATTAAAAATTACTACAAATATTGTTTTATGTTGATATTACTTCACCTCTAAAATATTACTAAATAATCGTTGTTACCAATCAAGGTAGCCAACTTAAATCCCTATATTCAAGTTGGTATTACCTCACTTCCAAGAAGTTACTCTTTTTTCCAAATAATAAGCTTCCAAACCAAGGAAAGCCAACTTATAAATCTCGCCTAATAGACAAATCAGTGTTTCCCCTAGATTAAAATCGAATAAGTAGAAAATAAACTGATTGAACGGCCTCGCGACTCGTTAACCGGCGTTTCTTTCAATGACACCTCATTTTCGAAATGATAGTTTCCCAGCCGGTTACGGCGAGCTGGCGCCGTTCACCTACCCTAATTATGGGATTCCCATGGTGGAATCGCGCGAAATTATACCGAACCGATTGACATAATGGTATTATTTATTATTCAAATTTCACATCGCGAAAAAAAGCGGAAAAAAAACGCAAAGATAATGCCGGGATATCGACCAAACAAAAATCTTACGCGGCAATAATTACACACCGATTCGAATCGTGATGGGGAGTGATTGGGAAGCCGTTCCAATCCGAGCCGGTTAATCGCACGGTAAAAGGCCCCGGCGACAAAATAGAAAATCCAGCAACGAGGAAACCGCAAACTTCAATTTTCTAGCCGTCGCCGCGTTTTTAAAAGCCTCATTACGGACAGGAAGTTAAAGAGGAACGGCCTCTCCGGCGTCCGGCCGAAAAACGAGAAGCGCCCGGTTTTTCGATAACTCGATAACCGGGCGAGTGCCGCAAAACAAACGACAAAACAACCGCCCCCGCGCTCCCGCCCCCGCTCGATTGTTCCGAGTTGACATCCGACGTGGAAACGCGGAAGGTCTTGGGAGAAATTCCGGAGGCGCATCGCGCAATTTGCCGTGAAACAACCGCATTAAGGCGACTTGACAATGAATTAATCGAGTTAGGGGGGTCGTTAAACGGGGGGGAGTGAGGTCGTGTCGCGGGAGAAAACGGATTCGGATGCGGAAAAATGTCGAATGGCAGGCGGCCCCGTTGCACAACAGGATATGGATGCATTTCCGTTCTCAAAGGGGTTAGTAATTATGGTCGGTAATGTGATTACTTCGTTTCTGAACATAGTCCATTAGGCTCCTGTGCCGAGCAATAATTCCATATCGCTCCAGCTTCCCGGCTCTATCGTATTTCTCTTGCCAATTTAATGTACCTACTATCTACTCCGATACATCAAAATTAACCGAAGATCAAAGGTAATAGAGCGTTCACCCGATAAAAAAAAACCTACACTATCTACCACTAGCATTTTTTCCTGTGCTAATTAAAAGAACAAGTTACAGGTTATAGGCGTTTTGTCGGCGCCCAAATTTAATAAAGCAATTACCGCCCCCCGAAACGACGCCGCCGCCGCCGCCGCCGCGGATAATGTACATCGCGTAAATCAAGAGATATTAATGCCGCACGAGAGAAGTGAAGAGCCGACAGGGAAGATTACGAATTCGCGAAAACGCGAACATAAACGAAAATCGCGACATTAGGGCCCTTCTAACATCGATTGGTGTGCGTGCTTTGGCTACACTGTTAAAAATTTTTAGACTAGGCTCGTCGATAAGAGGCTAAAATTAGTCGGCAAGAGGCTAAATTAGTCGACAGGGGGCTACAATAGTCGACAAGAGGCTAAAATAGTCGACAATAGGTTAAAATAGTCGACAAGGGAATATAACAAGTCGATAAGAGGTAAAAATTAGTCGACCAGAGGCTAGAATTAGTTGACTAGGGGAAAGAATTAGTCAACCAGGGGCTATAATTAGTCACTTGAAGTTAAAACGAGCCGACATGAGGCTAAATTTAGTAAAAAAAAGGCTAAAATTAGTTGACCATGGCCTACAAGTCGACTAGAGGCTAGAATTAGTCGACAAGATGCTGGAATTAGTCGACAAGAAGCTAGAATTAGTCGACAAGAGGCTAGAATTAGTCAACAAGAGGCTAGCATTAGTCGACAAGAAGCTAGAATTAGTCGACAAGAGGATAGAATTAGTGGTAAATAAAATAAGAAAATGATAAAGGTATCATTTTTTACAGTGTACCGATTGCTGTCTCACAACCCCCCAAAAACATTTTATTTAATTTAACCGTTTAATCTAACTTTACACTTTAACGGCATCCAATTTAATTTAAGGTAAAATCTAATTAAAACGTTTTCATATACATTTAATAGTTCCATTTAGAACGAAGCAAGTATCGAGGTATATCCTTAATACAACGCCATTGTCACTTGTCAAGATCGTTTACAGCGCTACCAACTTAAAGGTGCGTCGCTTGACAGGTGATTGTGCGGTGTTGCCAACGTACATTCTACAATGCAACCAACTTAAATGTAAATCTCGTAATGTAGGTGACAAAAAAAAAAAATCGGGAGACGCGTCGGACGTGACGCGACGCCGACGACGTCGCGACCCGATCAGCTGTTCGGCGTGCGAGAGATGCTTTCTCGTCTCTCTCTCTCCCGCCTGTAAACGAAAATAAATCGTGGGAGGCGACCTTGCAGCCCGGCGTCGGTCGTCGTCAAGGCACTCTAGACAACACATTCTCCGAATACAATGCGATATCCCGATAACGAAACGTATACACGCGGACGAGAAAACGAGAGAATACCCCAACACGGATCGAGTTGGCCGCGGTGCTCTCTAGACGACGCGCGCGAGCAAAGAGGACGGGACGATCGAACGGAGGAAGACGGACGGATTGATATTCGGGTGTTTTATTTTGGTCTGGTTTCGTCGGAGCAGATGTAGGAGGAGGAGGAGGAGGATTCGAGTCTATCGTATAGTAAGTGCATTCGAAAATAGTCGGTCGATTGATTCGATTGTTCAATGGGAAAAGATGGAAGATTCATTCATTAGAATATCGCTACAACTATCCACTTGTCTTTAATCTCATTTGAGTTGATACAATCCTATAACTCAATTTACTGTATTACTATAAAGGAATTTGTAGGAATTGAATTATTCTGGAGGTTCATCCTGATTGGTGACCTTTCCTGGTACTTCCTTTCTTCTCCTCTGCTTTTAGTTCTTATGCTTTCCTCTCCTCTACATTCCTCTCATCTGCTTTCATTTCCCCTGTTTTCCTCTCCTCAACTTTCATTTCCCCTGCTTTCCTCTCCTCTACTTTTAGTTCCCATGCTTTCCTCTCCTCTACATTCCTCTCTTTTGCATTCCTCTCATCTGCTTTCATATCCCCTGTTTTCATCTCCTCTGCTTTCCTCTCCTCAACTTTCATTTCCCCTGCTTTCTTCTCCTCTGCTTTCCTCTCCTCAGCTTTCATTTCCCCTGGTTTCTTCTCTTCTCTTCTCCCTTTCTCTTCCTAAACTGAGAACATCCAAACACCAAATCATTTAACCCCAAATAATTGGAATCTTCAACACCTTCTTCCTCATCCATTTGTACCTACCTGCACCGATACCACTCCATATAAACCATCAAGTCTATTAACTAATCTATAGTACACGATCCTCTCCAGCCCATTGACCAAATTCCCCGACCCGGCGACAAAAACTAACCTACCCTTCGCCGGTTGCGCTTCGGCTAATCGTCGGAGGTTCAATGGAAAAGTAAAAGGGGTGAAATTCCGTTTTCGACCGGCCCGGAAGAGAGCGAACGAAACCGAGAGACGCGCACACACAAGCGGCGACAGGAGAGAGGACCTTGAAAAGCCGGAATAAGAGAGGCGCTCGAACTCTCCAGACGCGAATCCGAAGGGACGGTGGAATGCTCGAGGAAGGGTCGGGAAACGGGAAGAGAGGAACACAATCGAGGGAAATGCCCCGGTGTGCTCTCTCTCCCGGAAATTGATTTATATAATTCGCCCAAGGAGCGGCCGATGGACTTTCCTAGAAGATCTTTAAACGTGTATGTACTTACAGAGGTGTTGCTGGTGGGGTTTTTTTAATCTACTGATGGGGTTGTATTTGAATTTTTTTTTCGGAATAATTCGTGTATGCGAAGGATTGTAATGGACGCGATAATGCCTCCCGAAAGGGATATCTTGCAAGATACGACGCCCGCCCGACTTCCTTTTATCGATTACAACGAAAGGGGCGCTGGGAGAGAGAGAAAGAGGGGTCTCAGAGGGGCGGGAGCCGCGGGGGGGCGGCGAGGAAGCGGGCCGTCGAGTTTGTATTAAATTAGATCAATTTGTCAAAATCCTTTTGGACGTTTCATAATTTGCCGCCGCCGTAGAGCCGCCGCCGCCGCCGCCGAGAGAACGGAGGCGGCAACAAGAACAAAAGTTACATCCATTTCGGTAAATTACTTGATACAAGATACTTCGAATCTGATGTAATTAATAATACTTATTTTCGTTGCGCCGTTTGCCTGGGAACACGTTTTAGCAAATTTTTTTTTGTAAATAACTGTCACATTTTACTCGAAATTTCCCGTCCGAAAAATCAATTGATTGCTCTACGAGGGGATAGGGAAAAGTTTAAAATTAACGCATCCGAAAATCCCGAGCGATGCGCGAAAAGTACATATTGTAAAAATTTAAAACAAACATTAAGTTGAAATTTTACATTTAATTTAGCGATCGACGGGCCCCGAGCTTTTCGTTCGATTGGCGCCAATTAGTTGATTGGAATCGAATATTCCGTACGTACATGACACGTACTGTTCAGTAATTAAATTAACCGTTACCGTATTAATAGCGTACGCGTCAGACCGGATATTTCCGCGGCAAAAAAGACAGAATGTAAGATGAAACGGGGATTATTTAAATAAATCAGAAGTGGGATCGAACTCGTTTCGCATAGAGAATCATATTCGACATAAAATTTTCGCCAATAAAAGCAACCGAAAAAAAAACAAGAAGTAATTGTTCATATTGTCGCTCCCTCCAACATCATTTCCCCGGCGATTCGAAACAATTTATACACGACAAATAAAAAAAAAAGCTTGGAAAAAAGTGCACCGGAAAATACATTCGTTCCTCGGCACAAAATCCAATTTTACTGCCTACGCTACTCCATAATTAAACGCAATTATTCGTGCATCTTACACTTCGATACAAACATTTTAAAATCGCCTAAAAAACCTCTACAAAAACCGAGGAATAAGAGCCACTAACAAGTAGCGTCATATGGACAGTGTAGTGCGAATAATGAATGAATAATGCACAAACTAGAGGGTCATATATAATCCATACGAGTGCAAACAATACATGCTCAGAGGTATTGTACATGGTGGAGAATGCATGCGGACGGGGAGGAGGGACCCCCGATGTAAAGCAATCGATGTGTACAATAGTTAATTTGCTATGGTAAATTATTTATATCGAACCGCATGTACGACAATTATATTATTTCGTACGAGCCCGATGAATTACTAGTCGATAGTAATACACTAATACATCGATATATTATTAGTTGTAATTTTCTTAGAAGTGAAGATGACTTGTGGAAATCGCTTAAAAAGAGCACTATAAGGTAGTAAAAATTCATCTTGTAATAATAAATAATAATGGTAACAAAATAGTGAAGATAGCTCTTAAATAGCGATCATTTGTGTCGTTAGTGACATTTGGGAATAGTGTTATTTGACATTAGAGACCTTTAAAAGTAGTTACAAAATGAATTTATATTCGGAAAAATACTTAAGAGGACACTAAAAGAGCAAACATGTATTTTATACAAATAATCATAACCAAAATAGTGAAGATAGAGTACTTAAATAGTGAAAATTTGTGTCAATAATGACGTTTGACATTAGAGACCTTTGAGAGTAGTGACAAAATAAATTTTTATTCGAAAAAAATACCACTCTAAAACACTACAATAGCAAAAATGTACTTTATACGAATAATAGTGACCAAAATAGTGAAGATAGAGGACTTAAATAGTGATAATGTGTGTCATTAGTGACATTTGAGATCTTTGAGAGTAGTGTCAATTTTTTTTAATTTATTTTGAATCAAAAAAACACTTAAAAAGTACACTAAAATAGCAAAAACCTATCTTATAATAACAAGTAAAGTATACATAATAGTCACAAGGTATTGCTGCATTAGCAAAATATAAAAAAGAGCAATGATATTTGACATTAGTGACATTTAACACTAGATACCTTTGAGAGTAGTGACAAAATGAATTTTTATTCGAAAAACTACCTTACAATTACAAATAAAGTACATAGTAGTCATTAAAATAGCAACATATAAAAATAACAATGGCATTTAACATTAGTGATATTTAAAAATAGTGACATTAGACCTTTGACAGTATTGACAAACGTCATGTCAAAGTCAACTCGTGTTCTCTCGGAATATATTTCAACATTTTAACATGGAAAATAGTTATTCATTAGAAACAAAAGATCGTATATGTATAACATTGTGATTAATATTAATGAGTTTTATTCGAACGAGCCGGAGTCTATAACGTGTATATACGTGTGGTATTCTTAATTTACAAGAAACGCTCGAGCTCGTCGTTAACATAAAAGGTTTGAATTAAGGAAATAGCGAAATATGAAAAATGACCTCCCGCTCTTAATATTTTTCGAATTGTCGCATGTTTTATTCATACGCATATTCTCTCGTAATGTGTACGTTTAAAACGCTTTCGCACGTTTGCGTAACGATCGTCCCCGATCGCTTTTAATATCGCTCCTTTTAATACAAATAATTATTTAAACTCTTCCGAGCGAGAACGCCATAACCATAACAGTTTCTGCGAATTACGCAAAAATAAAAACTAATAGCCCGACATAATCGTAAGGAATGGACTTGTTTTCCGACGCCGGGAATGGCTAAGACTATATGCCGTTTTATATTATTTTTTCATTCATATTTTACTGCTTACTTTTTCACTTATAATTATCCAGTTATTTCATAACCGTTATATTAAACAACGCCCACCTCTAATTTTTTTACAAATCCGAATTTTTTTTTATCGAATTCATTAAATCACCCCCGTAAAACCGAACCGACTGTATCCAACAAGAGATGAAGATAAACCGAAATGCATGCAGTGTAGAGGATATCACAGATCGAAGCTTTTCCACCCCTTACACCCTCTCAACTTGTGTCTCTCGCTCGCTCTAACCGCCGGAACCCCTTCGCATATATGTGGGGCAATCCAGACGCACAGCCTACTAATGCAATAAATGTACTGCATTGCATATTAGCCCCGAGAATGTACGTGTAATAATATTAGGGAGAGCGTTTCGTGTTACGGGCACTCTCGTCATCTCATTCCGCTATTTCCTAACCGTATATACAGGGCGATGCTAAAATCGTATATGTAGCTTTACTTATCGGAACCACCCTGTATAAAGAGTATATAATGCACGGGGTTGTTTTTTTTGTTTCGTCGAGTTTAGGAGCGAGGTTTCCGATCGGCGTGTTTTTTTTTGTGTTCGGGAGTATGTATAAAATAACCCTGAAAGGTTGGGTCATCGGATTGAATAATTTAACGGGACCGTCAATATTTTAACGTGCAACGGATAAATTTTTAGGGGGTGCGTGCGTGAGAGACGGAGCTCAAGTTAATTCAATCTGGGGAGCGGACGTTTTGCACTGAGAATGCCGGATTTACACTGTTAGAAATTCGCCATACAAGAGGTGTTATTTAAGAAAACTTAATTATTTAAGAAGCAAATTTTGAATATACTTAATTGGTGTCCGGTCAAGTAAGAGGCCGTCGTATATTAAAACGAGGAAATTTAGAGAGTTTAGAGTTAATTCATTCGCATCATATATTTTTTAGAGTGTATAATCCGAAGCAAAAAAGCGCCGCGATAAATTTTAAAATATTTAGGAAAATGCCCGAATTATTTACACGCACAGCTTGTTTTTTTTATTTTTCCGAAAACCGTATTGCGTTTCCTGATTGATCTCGTCGCTTGAGCTCTTTTTTTTCAGGCCTTTTTCTGTCTGCGAAATGAATCGATGTAAATATTTCAGCGCAACGGCGCGGGGCAATGGGAAAAATAAGGTTAACCCCAAGTGGCATAGATACGAGGGGCGTTCGAAAAAAATATATGTTATCGGATTTGAAAAATTTGTTTAATAAAGAAAAGGGGTTAATGCAGCTGCAGTGTACAAATTAATGCATTTAATATTTTTATAGGAAACGGTGAATCGTACGAAAAAAAGTCAAGACATCAAATTTGTTCTAAATTGAACGGGGCATAAGAAATAATTTTTATTTCAACAGAAAGCAGTGGCGTATCACTATTACCCTCAAAAATATTTAGCATGATTTCAGTACGGACGCCACTGTTGGAAATAAAAAAATGTTTTTACGTCAAAAAGTGTTTTTTAATGCATAAACGCCGTACACCAAATTTCATAAAAATATTTAAAGTGGT